GTAAGTTTCATCAGTGATGGAGAATTAAAATCCTTCCCAGACATTCAATCCCTAAGACTACGCTGCCTCCAGACCAACTCTACAAGAAAAACATAAGAAAGTATTAAACAAAGAAGAAAGGAAAAAGAGAACAACAATGCCTTTCACAAGAATGCAGGAAAAAGATGGAAAACACACATAAATCAACCCAAAAACCTAAAGAAAGACAACAAACAAGCACAGCAACAACAACAAACTCTATAAGAACCTCATGACAGGGATAAACTCTCACATCTCAATAATTAGCCTAAATGTGAATGGACTAAATGCACCACTGAAAACACACAGAATGGCAGATTGTATAAAATATCATGAGGCAGCGATATATTGTCTCCAAGAGACTCATCTCACCAGAAAGGACACTCACAGATTCAAAGTGAGAGGATGGGAAACAAAATTTCAAGAGAACAGAAGACAAAAGAAAGCAAGAGTTGCGATCTTAATATCAGACAAAATACCCTTTAAGTTATCAAAAATTTAAAAAGATACGAAAGTTCACTACATAATGGTAAAAGGTTCAATCCATCAACAAGAAATATCCATCCCAAACATATATGCATCCAACACAGGAGAACCAACTTTCATAAAATAGCTTTTAGGTAAACTAAAAAAAGATATTGACTCTAACACTACATAGCTGGGGACTTAAACACCCCACTAAAAACCCTAGACAGATCATCAAGAGAAAAAGTCAACAAGGAGATCTAAAACTTCAACATGACGCTTGACCAAATGGACTTAATCGATACCTATAGAACACTCCACACAACAACCACGGAATATACATTCTGCTTATCAACACATGAAATGTACTCTAAGATCAACCACATCCTTGTTCATAAATCAAGCATAAACAAATTCTGTAAGATTGAAATTCTGTCATGCACCTTCTCAGACCACAATGGAATAAAAATAAATATCAACACCAACGAAGTTCCCCCAAAACCCACAAAGATATGGACACTAAACACCATGATGGGTAAACACTGAAATCAAAACAGAGATTAAAAGATACCTGGAAGCAAATGAAAAGGAAAAACATCTTACCAAAATCTCTGGGATGCCATGGAAAACAGTCCTAAGAGGGGAATTCATATCTCTATGAACACACATGAAGAAAATGGAAAGATCACAAGTTAACAGCCTAACAAATCACCTAAGGAAGCTGGAAAAGAAAGACCACCAAAACCCTAACTTTAGCAGAAGAATCCAGATCACGAAAATTCAGGACATAGAAGCCCAAATTCAGGACATAGAAGACAAACAAATAATACAAAAAAAAAAATCAATAAAACCAAAAGCTGGTTTTTAGAAAAGATAAACAAGAGTGATGGCCCCTAGCTAGACTGACTAAGAAAAAGAGAGAAAAAGCCCAAATAAACACAATCAGAAGTACAAAAGATGAAGTCACAAGTGACCCCAAAGAAATACAAGTTATCAGAGATTACTATGTACACCTGTGTGAAAACAAACTCGAAACTTAAATAAAATGGAGGACTTTATTTCATCACACAACCTCCTCAGGTTGAAACAAGAAGAAATTGAGACCTAAATAGACCAATAACAATCCAGGAAATCGACTATGTTATAAGAAAACTACCTACAAAAAAAAGCCCTGGACCAGGTGGCTTTCCAGCAGAATTCTACAAAACATACAAGGAGGAGATTATACTAACTCTACTGAAAGTATTCCAGGCAATTGAGATAGATGGAACTCTCTCCTAATCATCTTATGAAGCTAATATCACATTGATACCGGGTAAAGATCCATGAAGAAAGAGAAACACAGACCAATATTCTTGATGAACATAGATACTAAAATCTCAACAAGATTCTACTAAACCAGATCCAACAAAACATCTCAAAAATCATCCACCATGACCAAGTATGCTTCATCCCTGGGATGCAGGGCTGGTTCAACATCCACAAGACCATAAATGTAATTAAATACATCAACAGATGTAAAGACCAAAACCACATGATTATATTATTAGATATGGCAAAAGATTTTGATAAAATCCACCATTATCCTTTCTTGATAAAAACCCTTGAACATCTAGGCATAGATGGAACATACCTCAAAATAGTAAAAGCCATCTATGAGAAACCCACAGCCAACATACTCCTAAACAGACAGAAATTGGAAACATTTGCCCTGAAAACCAGAACAAAACAAGGATGCCCACTCTCACCCCTCCTGTTCAACACAGTATTGGAAGTCCTAGCTACAGTGATCAGACAAGAGAAGGAAATCAGGGTATCCAAATAGGAAAAGAGGAAGTTTAGTTATCACTCTTTGCAGATGACATGATTCTGTACCTCGAAAACCCAAGAGCATCTGTCAAAAACCTCCTTGCACTGATGAAGGCCTTTGGCCAAGTCTCAGGGTAGAAAATCAACGTGCAAAAGACAGTTGCATTTCCATACACCACCAACAAACAAGCAGAAACCCAAATAAAAAGCACAATCCCATTCACAAGAGCCACACAAAAAATGAAATACCTTGGCATCTTCCTAACCAGAGACGTGAAAGATCTGTACAAGGAAAATTACAAAACACTGCTCAAAGAAATCAAAGATAACACAAACAGAAAAACAGTCCATGCTCATGAATTAGAAGAATCAACAATGCCAAGATGTCCATTTAAAAAAAAAAACTGTCCATTCTACCCAAGGCCAAGGCAATCTATGGATTTTATGCAGTACCCATTAAGTTACCAGCAGAATTCTTCTCAGACCAGGAAACAACAATACAGGAATTCATATGGAAACATAAACGACCATAAGCAACCAAAACAATCCTCAGGACAAAAAAAAAGTGGGAGGTTTCACATTCCTGGACTTTAAACTTTATTATTAAGTTATAATAATCAAAACAGCCTATATTGGTATAAGAACAGGCATACAGACCAATGGAACAGGATAGAGATTCCAGAAGCAAAACCTCAATGTCTCAACCAACTCCCATTCTTCTTCATTTCCACTGGGGAGAGTAGAGTCTATTCAGTAAATGGTGCTAGGAAAACTGACTGAACATATGCAGAAGATTAAAACAAGACTCCTATCATCATACACAAAAGTCAACTGTAAATGGATCAAAGACCTAAATGTAAAACCTCAAACTATAAGAACCTTAGAAAATGCAGCAGACACCCTTACGGAAACTGGAACTCGCAATCAATTCCTGATCAAAACCGCAAGCGCCCATCCATAAAAGATAAGACAGACAAGTGGTACCTCATCAAATTGACAGGCTTTTGCAAAGACAAAGAAACCATCAAGAGAGCAGGGAGACAGCCCACAGACTGGGAAAAATATCTGCCAACTCTATATCTGACCAAGACCTAACATCTAGGATCTACAAGGAACTCAAACATGCCAAAAAGAAAGAAAGAAACAGCCCCATTACAAAGTAGGCAAAATATATGAATTGGCACTTCTCAAAATAAGACATATAAGCAGTCAATAGACTCATGAAAAAATGCTCAGCCTCACTAGTCATCAAAGAAATGCAAATGAAAACCACACTGAGATACCACCTAAGTCCAGTCAGGAAGGCCATCATCGATAACTCAAAAAAACAACAGATGAGGGAGAGGATGCAGCGAAAAGAGAACACTTCTACACTGCTAGTGGGAGTGTAAACTAGTACACCCTTGGTGTAAAACAGTTTAGCGATTCATAAAAGGCCTAAAAGTCAACCTTTCATATGACCTCACAATCCGCCTACTGGGAATATACCCAGAGGAACTCAAATCACTCTATGACAAAGATATCTGCACACACATTTTTACGGCAGCATTGTTCACAACAGCAAAAACATGTAACTAACCGTGCTTCCCATCAAAAGAGGACTGGATTTTTAAAAAAAGGTGGTACATATACGTGATGGAATATTATGCAGCCATAAAGAAGAACAACACTATGAACTTCACAGCAACTTGGACAAACTTAGAGTCTACAATACTAAGTGATCTATCACAGAAACAAAGAACTGAGTATCACATGTTCTCACTCATAAGTGAACCTTGAATAATTATCGTAATACTAAGAAAAGGATTGTCAGTAGTGGGAAATTGCCGGCGCTAAAGGGGGTGGGTTTGGCAGTAGTGGGAATCTGCCTGGGGAGTGAAGGGGCACACTTCATCAACAAGGGCACCTGCATAATGAAGATTTGTACACTGAACCCTGAAGTGTACCCCACATCTTTAACATAAACATTTAAAAAAGAAAAGAAAATGTATTTATTATTTTAAAAAGCACTAATAAGAAAAACCACCCCATCTTCAAACCAAATACTTTGTCCTCAGGCAGAGGAATTCACTTCTATCACAGTTTCATGTAACAATTGGAGCATTCCTCAACTCCAGCAGTCATCACATTATAACCAACTACCTCTAAGGAGTCTGCCTATCTGCTAGCCTGTGAGATCCCTGAATTCAGGACAAGCCCTACATGTTCTTTCCCCACTTTCAGTCTCTTTCCAGAACTTGGCACAGAACCTGGTAAATAATGAACACCATGATATCTTCTTCTGAAATGAATGACTAGACACAGCTTATCCAAGAGCAATGCCCTCCTTTCTAGTCATTTAATATGCTCACTTGTTTCTCACATTCCTCCTATATATATTTCTTCTAAGCAGTGCTGTTATTTACATGATGCTGTGATTTGTTAGTAAGAGTTTATAGTACAACCCTTCAAACTGCCACACTTTATTTCAGCTAAGTACTTACACATATGTGAAATAAAACACTCTTGTAAGACAGGTTGTTAATATTTTCATATTAAAAGTAGGAAATCTGAAGTTAAGAGAGATCAGAAACATGTCAAAGTTAGCATCACTAGTAGATCACAGGGTTAAACACTAACTTAGGGTCTCTACTTGTCACTACATCAAGCATTGAGTTTTTTAACAAATAATCTTTTATCAAAGCTTCAGTTGCACTAGCAATACTTACACTGACCCCAGCGCCCTGTTCTTGGGTTCAAATAATTTGGATAAAGACCATTTGGACGATCCATTTTCTGAAGTAGTTTCCGAATGTGCATGACCTAAGCAAAATAAAATTAAGAATGTAATTAACAAAAACAAATGTCAAGGCTTAATATTAATCTGGTCTTTGCGGTTTTTTTGTCACTTTGAAACTATACCCAACCCCTGCCTCCGTGCGTGTGTGTGCATGTGTGTGTGTGGTGCTGGTGGTGGTGGTGGTGGTGGTGCTGGTGGTG